CTGCGCAGGCGGCGGCGGCAGCGGAGCGGAGCGGGCAGCGGGCCAGCTCACAGGGGCTAACGCTTATGCTTGTCTTTTTTCGTTAAAAACAATTAGTGAAGCTAAAAGGTGATTTTAGGCTAAGGCAGATTAACAATTTGGAGTTTAAGCAGCTAAAAGCCAGCTTTAAAAACTGTTCAGAAGCCAGAGGAGAGGAGCCCTGCCCGCGGCTGCATTAAGCTGCCGGCCAGACCTCCTGAGTTGGGGAGCAGCAAGCACTGTGAGGGGAGGCTGAGGAGACCTCCCCTCTCCAAAGTCTCCAGATCCCCATCCCAACAATCAACCACATACATTCGGTGGCTCCTTCGACTGCAGGAGCGAAGGTGCGGTCACTGCCCACAGGTGAGGGCCTGTGGCTCCCTTTGTCCTTACCTAGAAGAGAGCGGTCCCAGAGGGGTTCTAAAGCAAGGCACGCCCCTAGGCCGTCTTTTCCTAAAAGCCTGCTCTATCAATTTGCTCTCAGAGGCAGGGTCTATCCTCCAGAAGGAGCCTTTGCCTGGTTCTTCCTGGGAACGCGGTACTTTGATGAAATAACGATTCAGAGAGAGATTGTGGCGAATTGAATTCTATGAAACATAAAAAAAATGTAGAATTCATATAATTCTTTGCTGAGAAACAAAACTGTGTCCTAGTTTTAATGCCCTATATAGCGGAAACCTCCATGTTCAGCTCCCAGAGCCCCCAGTGGACTCGGAGGCCACACCCTGAATGAGTCCTGGGCAAAGGACACAGCCCTGCGGCCACCTGACCCAATGTGGGGCAGAGTGAGGGTCTCGACTCCCACCCACAGCAGGAACCGAGGCCTCTGGGACAGCCAAGGCCTCATTGCCAGCTCTGCACAGAACCATGAGCCACTCTTTTCACGCACTGTACATTTTGCAGCGAATCAGTGGATAGACTGCCGTGCCATTTCAGGAAAACTTATCTACTGCAGCTTTACGAAGCATTTGGTAAACCAGCAAATGCTGAGAATGTTCAGTAATACCACCTTCCGGGACCAGATGCATGGCTCTGTATCGGCAAAGAATGTCCAAGAGAGCTTCAGTGTGAGTGCTGCAAAAGTGAGCACTGTGATCCTGTAACTGTGTAAGGTATGCAGAGAAAGTCTCTCCCAACTCCTAGCCCATTAGTCTTTCTATCCCCAGAGGCCCAACTTCAGGTTTGGCAAGGGTTTGAGAAAAGCTCCTCACTGTGGCCTGACTTGGGCCATACCATGGAGGCCAAAACTGGTTAAAAGTTACAGACTAATAACCAGCATTTCCTGCATTTACATTCAAGAGTAACTTCTAAAACTAAACTAAGTCTTAAAGTGGTAATAACTCAAAAGAAAATTTGTGGCTATCTAAAAATCATTTCTAAATTCCCCAGGTAACCTGACAGAACTGTTAGCCAGGGCCTGAAATTCTGAATTGTCAATGGCATCTAAGAAAACAAGCACGTGCCAAATATAATTTACATCGTTCTCAGAACTGTCTGGTACTGAGTCACAGGCCGTGAAAAGGCAATGGACCCCACAGGCCTGAGGTTTGTCGCCAACAGCTCGTGTCGAAGGGGACACGTGGATGTCTGCTTCACACAATTTGTTAAATACACGAATTTGTGGAGATTCCAAGTATTACAATAACCAAGGCACCTGTACGGGTACTGTTCCCCCAGGAGGACCTGAAGACCAATCGACCTTTCCTTCAGCTCCTCCAGCAAACAGATGGGACTCTTCCTGGTGCCCAGAACAACAGGCAGGGACTATGGGCCAAGCCAGTGGGGCCCAGACAAATCCTGCCTGGAGAAGTGGTGCACCCCACAGCCTTCGCTAATCCAAAACGCCCCTGACCTCAGACTCTAAACTCAGACACTCTGAGTGCTAATACACCACCACAAGCGGGGCCTAGGGCCAAGCTGTGGTCAGCACTCTGGCGGAACGGTGTTGTCCCATAGGACACTACCTGCTGGCTGTGTGGAGAGGGTGTGTGCGAAACGTCAATGGATTCTGGGTCTGGACTTGGCTCCTTTCCCCAAGATACCTTGTTATATATATGCAAAGATTCTAAAATATGAAAAAATAGAAACCGGAACAGTGCTAGTCCCAAGCACTCTGGATAAGGGATGCCCACACCTGTGGCTTCCGAGGTCCAGTCCCGGCACTGCTCTCAACAGTGGCAACCATGCAGCCCCCGAAGGAGGCTGCACCCGTGCTGACCCTTGTGGAATAATTTAATTTGCATATTATCAGGAGGAAAACGATGGTGAGCGTAAGGGGACTGCAGAAAAAGGGAACGTCATTCTGGGGAGCTAGGCTTTCTGTCCAGGGAGGAGAGAGCAGGATCACGAGCCCAGCTGTCGCTGCCTGCCGCACTGTCCCACGGAAGTGTTTCGGATCAGGGAGCTGCTGCCAATGTAACAGAACCTGCTTCCCTGAAACAGGTTCTCACCTCTCCAGTCACCCTTCACGACAAACCACAGGCAAGCAGTCACTTGCGATTTTCTAGCCAGACAGAGGAAGTGATGAGATGTTTACTGTAGACCCAAAAGAAACAGTATCCATTTCCAAGGTCATTTAAGGCCTGAATAATTTGGTCAAACCCAGGGTTATGTCATCTTGCTCCTATGTGTATTAAAGCCACAACTGCTGACTCCAGTAACCTAGAAATCAGCACAGACTCTCCAGGGAAAAGGTAGGTTGTTACACTTTCATGCTGAAGATGAAGAGAAGACCTGTAACACTGAGTATGTCCTCTTGGCCCAGAGCTGCTTCTAACAGACTGCTACCAAAGACCCACTCGTGAGCCATGCCGCATGGCCTCCCTGAGTGCATCCAGCTCTCTGACCTGACCGTGCTTCCTCAAGCAGGGTCTGTCCCTCAGCATCTCCCAGCATCTCACAGCATCTCCTGTGCACTGTGCACAGGAAAGACCTGTTAAGGAACTTGTAGGTTTCTTGTCTCTGTCTCTAAGATAGTGTCTTGCTGTGTATCCCAGGCTGGCCTTGAACGTAATGATCCTCCTGTTTCAGCCTCCCTAATGCTATGATTACAGCATATGCCACCATGCCAGGCTTTTTTTTTTTTTTTTGGTACTTGGGATTGAACCCCAGGCTTCCTGTGTGCTACATAAGCACTCTATGACTAAGCTGCACCCAGCCCTCTTTATTTTGTTTTAAGATAAGGTCTCACTAAGTTATTAGCCTTGAACTTACAATCCTCCTTTTCAGCCTCTGGAATAAATGGAATTTGTAAGTTTCTTATAAGCATGCCAACGTGTAGGAATGCTTCCAGAAGAACAGGGCTGAGGGTGAGTACAAAACACAGGCCCAAGCCAGCTCTGGTCTGTCCGGAGGCTGAGAGCTCAGACTTCTCCAACTTTTCATAGTCACAACAAACATATCAAAAATTATAAAACCTTAAGAAATCATTTTGGCAGAAAAATGTATGAAAAGTAAGAAATATACCATCTTTCTGATAGCTGTTCATTTGATTCTAGAATTTCTTTTGCAGATTAACCAAAATACTGCACCACAGGCAGATCCTATAAAATCCTAATGCTAAATCAAAGAGGCAGTGAGGACCTGAGAGGGACAGAGTCTGAGGGACCCGTGCCCCGCCTGGGCTCAGAGAAGCACAGGACGCAGTCCTGCATGCTGTGCAGGCAGCGCAGCTGGAGCTCTCAAAGGGCTCTGTTCTTGGCAGCTTTTGTGCTTTTCTGAAAAGAAACAGCACATGAACCAGATGTACTGGTCATCCTATAACCCTAGCTACTGAGGAGGCAGAGGCAAGATCATAACATTCAAGCAGCAAGACAGCGAGAGCGAGAGAGAGAGAGAGAGAGAGAGAGAGAGAGAGAGACAAAGGGCAGCTGCTCTGGGAAGGGTGGTGTGGAGAGCTCAGGGCAGAAAGGAACACCCATGAGCCTGCGGGTCCTTATTCCGAAGCCAGTGACACAGCTGAGGACGGGAGGGAACAAAAAGGAAGAGTCCACAAACTGAAGGGGTTGGGATCAAGCAGTCTTTCTCCCACTGTGATAGCTGGAGCCTTTAGGGAAAACAGATACTGAGGGTCTGGTCAGTGGACTATTTATACTTCTTATAGCAAGTTTATACAGCTGCACCTAAAAGCAAAGGTTTTTCCCTTCAATAAATACAAAAGCTACCCCTCCTCCCACCCACACTGCTAAATTAGAGGGTTATGATTCGGCAGCACACTGTGTAAAAGACCATTTATTCAAAACAAAGCCCTGAGGAAATTCTGCAGTCGTTCCTGGCTACTTTAATGAATTAAAATATCACAAGCACATATTTCTTCCTTTCCTTCCTTGAGATAGGGTCTCTCTCTGTGGCCTTGCGCTCAGTGTGTAACCCAGGCAGGCCTTGAACTTGTGGCAGTCCTCCTGCCTCAGCCTCCCAAGTGCTAGGATTACAGTTGTGCGCCACCATGCATAGCATGTTTTTAACATTCTATATTCCAAACTTATTCCAATTTCACAAATTGTCTCAATTAGCAGTGTTCTACTGTATATTCAGTAGTTACACAGAACACAGACACAAAAAAAAATCTATGTAACTTAAAGGTTTAAAACATTAGTGTAGGGCCGGGGATTTAGCTCAGCGGTTCGGTGGCCTGCCTTGCAAGTGCAAGGACCCGAGTTCGATCCCCAGTACCCCCCCAAAAAAATTGGTGTAACTTCTGGTACTTTGCAGGATGGAAGGGAAAGGAATAAAAGAATTGAGATGTGTAATATATGTGTACAGTTCCCCATAATTAATGTAATTATTATATAATGCAAATGTACTAATAATTTTTTTTAAGTTCAAAAAATAAATAAAATGCTTTCCACATCTTAAAAAAACCTCTGGTGGATGGGCTGAGCAACAGCCCCACAGTTCTCCCTGCTGAGCCGCTGGAGAAGCCCTAGGAAGGGGCTCCACGGGGCTGTTGTGCAAATGGCAGCCTCTGTGTCTCGGCAGCAGGGCATGAGGAAGGCGGAGAGCACCAGGGAGAAGGCTGGACCCGCCAGTGCTGCTAGCACGAGTGTTGTTTTTCTTTTAAGACAAAAGATGTCAACGTATGAGTTGCTTTTTCTAAACTGTAACCTCATACTCAGATTTAATCGCAGTGTTGGTGCTTCGTGATAAATAAGTGGGTTTTGATTGCACTCTGGCACTCAGTCTCTAAAAGGTTCGCTATCCCTGGGCTAGACTTTTAAATTCTCCTCTGTTTCAGATACACAGAATAAACTGTAGTGACTGGAGAGAAACATCCCAAACAACCCATGCCTCATGCAGTCCATGGAGATGCAACAGTAAAAACGCAGCTTGCTCTCTTCCTGCTGTGTCATGGAGCCCTGAGTGCCCTCTCTCAGCAAGGCCAAGTTTCACTCCTCTCTGTCTACCTTGCATCTGAATTAAATAAAGTACCAGCTTAATCTCCTCTTAGTATCAACCAGCATCTATAAGACACGAAAGAGAAATATTTAATAAAGTGAAAGGGGCTTACCTGCCAGCCCTTGTCTGCAGTCCGATAGTATGGGTAGTTTTTAGTGATGTGTGTATAGATCCCATTTAGGGTGAGCTGTTTATCAGGAGCCATTGTAATTGCTTGTACTATCAACTGTGCATAGGAATAAGGTGGCTTTGAATCATCCTGTATTAAAAAAAAGTGCAGTAGTTAACACATTTTTTAAGCTAAAATTCAAGATTTCTTATTTTAAATGTTCCTCCAACAATGCTTAGTTTTTATTATAAATTGAATACAATTTGGAAAACTTGGTGAAACAAATGGGAAAGTGACTTGCAAACCTCTCAGAGTAAACTCAAAACAAGTGTTCAGTGATATTCATTACTTCACAAGTGTTTCATGAGGACAGATCACACTAACTATTCAGGTGTGATCCAAGCTTTTCAGATAGATCCGAGAATAATATCGGAACAATGTTGATTGGACTCCTATCATAGAACTTTTCAGCTCTGCCCTGTGAGGACCCACCGCTGAGAAGTGGCTACCCTGGAGGCCTCACCGCACTGCCTCCTTGCTACTGGTGTGTGTCTCTACCTTCCCAGACCGAGCACAGAGAGGCTCACAATGCATTTATGATGGCTGAGCAGATGCTGCTGTGGGCACACAAGGGCAGCCAGGGCCTTCACATCTCAGAGAACCCCGCTTTGCAAGGAAGGGAGGGGTAGTTTTTTTCTTTTTTTCACTTAGCACTACACTTCCCTATCAGAAAACATCTCAAATATGCCCTTACTGGGCTACGATATCTTTTTGTTTTTTGTTTGTTTTGTTCTGGTACCAGGGATTGAACTCAGGACCTTGGTGTTTGCGAGGCAGACACCACCATTGAGCTAAGAGTAACCCCGCTTTGCAAGGAAGGGAGGGGTAGTTTTTTTCTTTTTTTCACTTAGCACTACACTTCCCTATCAGAAAACATCTCAAATGCGCCCTTACTGGGCTACGATATCTTTTTGTTTTTTGTTTGTTTTGTTCTGGTACCAGGGATTGAACTCAGGACCTTGGTGTTTGCGAGGCAGACACCACCATTGAGCTAAGAGTCCCAGGCTGGGCTTCCATTTTTTTTTTTTTTTTCTTTTTTTGGTACCAGGGATCAAACTCGGGTCCTTGTGCTTGCGAGGCAGGCAGAGGAACCACTGAGTTAAATCCCCAGCCCTGGGCTACCATATCTTAATCAGTATTCCCTAAAGGGCATTTAGGTCCCTTCTGATTTTGTTTTATATAAACTTTGTCCATTTCCTTCAAGAGAAATTACGTATTAGGTCGAAGAACAAAAACACACAGACTCGTATTGTGACTATGAGCAAATGCATCCAAAAGGGGCGCTGTGCCTTCCCAAAGGGTGCACTCCATCGTCCTCCGCAGTGGCTGGGAGAGGTGCGGAGTGAGCTCAGCCCCACACCAGACTGATGCCCGCCTGATGCCACCCCCACCCCACATGCCCAGAGTCCTAGCAGCCCTCACAACACAGGTGACAGAGGGAGGGCTGCGGTGGGGCCAGATAGGAGACCAGAACATTTACCTTTGGGCTGTCTCCACCAGAAGCTTCTTTTTCATTTTCCGGCTGTGAGTTGTCAGCCATTAAACTGAGGTCAGATGGCATCACACGGCCTATTTTGTACCCTGAAGACCCCGCTCCCCGGGGGCTGGATGGGCAGGAGTTTGCAGCACTGCAGAAGAGAAAAGGTTGCTCCTTTAGCCTACTATTGAGTGCACACCATATGTGCTTCGGTGAGAGGCTCTGAGTCAGGGAAGATAAATGGGAAAATTTTGTAAAGCAAGAGAACATCAGCATTTCCAACAGGCAAATGGGACTCCCGCCATTTCTGTGAAGCCTGTGATTGCCCCAGGAAGCAGAGCAGATACCATCGTCGCGTAAAGCACTCTCCATGGCACTGCCCCCCACGAGGAACACGAGGCTCCAGATGGCTCCAGACCTCACTGAGGATCTGAACGACACACAGTGGGTCCAGAGCCACTCACCCTGCCCTCTCGGAACTGGGACACCACGGCAGAGGGCAGGTCCGTCTCGAGGGCAAGGCCACGCACAGCCTCGTGCTCCAGAAGGCCACTGCTCAGGTCGATGAGGCATCCTGAGAGCAGGCGGCACCTTCTCACAGAAGGACCCGGTCGGGCCTAACTTCACCTCAGGCCTGACCGCGGGCCATGCGCACTGTGGTAAGCACAGTGTGTCTCAATACATAAATTTAAAAAATGAGCCACTGAAACAGAGATAAGATTTTTTAGAAACGCAGTAAGTTACAGAGACACTTGGAGGAAAAGACAAATACTGTGTTAGGCATGGTGATGCAGGCCTATAATCCCAACTACTATGGAGGCTGAGGCAGGCGGATCACAAGTTCAAACCCAGCCTGAGCAATTTACTGAGACTCTGTCTCAATTTAAAATTTAAAAAGAAATGGGTGTGTAGCTCAGTGGCAGAGCACTTGCCTAGCATGTAAGAGGCCCAGGGTTTAATCTCCAGAGCTAGGGGAAAAAAATTGTTTTGACTCTTCACGGTCCTTTGAGGTTTCATATAAATTTTAGGATGGGTTTTTCTGCTATAGCAAAATACATCAGACATTTTGATGGAAATTACACTGAATCCGTAGACTGCTTTCAGTAGTGTTGACATCTTAATGCTGCTAAGTTTTCCATCTTTCAATCTATGAACATGCGATGTTTCCACTTGTCTATACTCTTGAATTCCCAGAAGGCTGGTCAGACACCAGCTTCACAGCGTAATTCAGAGCAGTCTGAGTCTCCTTATGACACTCTTCCCTTAGTGGGCCACACAGAAGTGAGGACAGGTGACAAGAAAGCCCTCCCTGCCTGCCAGCTGCTTCCTGTGCACAGCCTGGACAGCAGCGCTGACACTGCAGAGAGGAAGTGTGCTCTCTCCTAAGTCCGTTTGCACACTCCCAACACGAGGCCCATGTGCCACCCCAGCAGACCACAGCCAGCAGGCCTGGTCTGCACCCAAGCCCGCCCGGCGCCAGCAGACCAGCATAGAGGGCCTGTGGCGCTGCCTGCACCTCTCAGGCTACGGGGCTGTGCTCAGTGCTGCCACCCTCTACTTCTGAGTCACAGGGTTTTTCTCGAGTAAAAGTGACATGACTTGGTCACTTTGGTGTGTACAAACTGAAGTACAAATTTTCAGAATTTATATGAAATTGTACCAAATTTAAATTTAAAACCTGTATCAGACTTTAGACCAATCTATAAATCATGACTTTAACTCCATTAAAATGAATCCTAAGTGAAGAACCAGGAACAAGTCAGGTGTGGCAGTGCATACATGTAACCCCACCTACTCAGGAGGCTAAGGTAGAAGGATAGTGAGTTCAAGGCCAGCTTGGGCACCTTAGCAAGAGCCTGCCTCAAAATTTTTTTAAAAAGGCTAGACATGTAGCTCAGTGGTAAAGCACTTGGCTACCATGCAAGCAGCCTGGATTCCATCCCCAGCACCTCAAAGGCGGGAGAGGAACACATGGGAATTCCATTTCACGATGCAGAGATTGTTGGCAGCAGTCTCCCAAAATTCAAAAGGCATTTTAGGCACCCATACTGTCTCTGCTCCAGGGGAGCAGGAGGACGTGCGGCCTTGGGCGCACACGTACCTGATGGTGCCTGTGGGGGACGGCAGGGGGCTGATAAGGTGGGCCATGGTGTCTGGAATGCTGATGGTGAGGGGGGAGATGTGTGGCTGCACGGGCTTCACCGGGGACTCGGGGGCCTCTGGCTTCTCCCTCTTCTCACTGGACAGGGCTGTGAACGTTATCTTGATGTTCGTGCTCGGGAACCTGAACGTGCACCTGGGGAAGCAAACCACATGGTTAGCACCTGTCTGCTACCCACGGCAGGGACGGGGAGCACGCAGCCTCCCACTGCCACGCTCACCACCAGGTTCAAAGCCCTAATGCGCCAGGTCACAAGGAAGATTCTCATGACAGGGAAAGCATGGGAGCCATTCGATCTGAGCTACTCCTTTTAAAATAAATCCACGAGTAAGCTTCAGGTCTTACAGTAGATTTAAAACACAATGGGGAGGCAGCTCAGAAATGGAGTGCTTGCCTAGCATGGGCGAGGGTGGGGAAAAAATAAGTGAACAAATGAACAAAAAAATAAAAAATAAAAGCTTGAATACCACTTGGTATGTATTACTCCTTTCAAAGTATATAAATATATCTCAGTTACTAAGCACAGACAGTTTTGTGTTAGGTTCTTTGTTGTTGTTTCATAAATACAAGCCACTCCCTTTTTATGGAAAAATAAAAAATCAGCCAGGCATGGTGGTTCATCCCCATAATCCCAATTCTTGGGAGGCTGAGGCAGGAAGATCACAAGTTCAAGGCCAGCTTGAACTACAGAGCAAGATCCTATCTCAAAAAGAATGACAAAACAAACAAAGCAAAACAAATCATATTACCTTTTTCAATGAGCAAGCAAAAGCCAGAGACATTAACTCTCAGGAGGCAAGGCTTACAACTTAGCACTCTGATCCATGTTTAATGAATGTGGCTTGCTCATTTATTTTGGTGCCACATGAATCAAATTCAGGACCTTGCACTTGCCAGGCAGGTGTGAATGTGGCTTCTTTGACATGACTCAAGTACATTTAAGAAAAAGTTAAGCCTACTTAAAAGATAAAGCCAGGCATAGTGGCACAGACTTGTAATCCCAGCACTTTGGGAAACTGAGGCAAGAGACTCACACGTTCCAGCCCAGTTTAAGCAATTTTGAGTCCAGCCTAGGCTACTTAGCAAAACCTTGTCTCAAAACAAAAAAAATATTAAGGGGGGGTGCGGTGCACTAGGGAAGTAACTCAGTGCAAAGGCCCAATCCTCAATACCACAAAAACAAAACAGACCCACCGACTCACACAGTCTGGTCTCAACCCTGAGTGCAGCTGAACACCACCTTACTGTGGTCCACTGACAGTCAGACAGCCAGGCCTACCGAGACCAGCTGTGCCCACCTGTCCTAGACACTCCTGCCACATGTGGCAGTCAGACATGGTCACACTTCTGTGTGCTGATCTAAAGGTGACACATGCCTGGTCTCCCTGGGCAAGAAAGGGCCGTGCTCACCTTATCCCCTGCCACAGTCTGCACGCACCCACACTTGCGGCGAGAGGCAGTGCCACGGAGCCCTAAGAGGTAGGAGGCTGTGGCCACAGGCGTGCACTCCTCACCAGGAGGCTGGCTCTGGCCTCACCCATCTCCTGCGCACTGAGGCCCAGGTCAGGACCCAGCAGAAAAGCCCTCTCTGGTTGCCAGTGCCACGTTTTCCTGAACGACAAGCCAAACCTATTTCTCTCTACTCAACCCCCCAGGCCATGATGTTTGGTATTCAGCCACTGGAGCAGGAGCAGCAGAACCGGGCCAGCCCGCTCCTCTCAGCCACAGCCATCAGGACCCTCCCTCCCTCCCGCCCTCCTTCCCTTCCCCGGTGTGAGGTGTGCCCAGGACAGTCAGTCCAGTAGTCTCCACCTCAGTGCAGCCCCTCCTTGCTGTCCCGGACCCCACATGCCATCAGGTCCGGCCCCTGGGGCTCTGTCTCATGACACACCCTCCTCCCAGGCCTCAACCCTCCATTTATGCTCAATCCTGAGTGAGTGTACCGAGACCCACAACTCTGACCTCCACACACACCTGGGTGATTTCACCCTAACCCTAACCTTCACAGCTGTCTTCCCGTGCTCCGAGCCCCCGACCACCTGCCCAGAGCCCCAGCCGCACCAGCTCTGAGTCTCACTTGGCCCATGCAGCACCCTCCCCAGGGACCTAGATCCCTCAGGTGCTCAGGAGTCACCCAAGCCACCAGTCAGGACGGCCAACCACCACCTGCACCTCACCCACAGCCCCAGTCAAGACTGGAGAAACAAGCCCTGCTCATCCGGGTGGCCTTCTAGAAGATGGCTGTGGACATGAGATGCGAAGACTGAGGCCTAACTGGCCTCCTCGGAGCACGAGGAGAAAAGGGGCACGCAAGCGTGCAGACACGCTGCAGGGAAAAGGAGAAACACCTGAGAGCCTGTTGTTTACCCGGACAAGTACCGCGGGGGGAGGGACACAGATGAGTCCTGTGGAGCTCTGGCTGCTTGTGCCCGTGTCTGAGCGCATAAAGCCACGGTGCCAGGCACTTGGGGTTCTACGCTGAAGGAAGGCAAGAGCCTCAGGACTTGCAGAATTTAACCTGATTCTGTGTCTATTTTTCATCCTGTTCACCCCTGGGTCAGGTTTGTGCTCAGATTGTAGGCTGCTTCCTACAGATAGACACAAACTACATGTCAATGAAGGGCTCATTCAGAGGATTGTGTGGGTAGCTACCAGAAGTCAAAAATATAAACAAGCCAACTGAAAAGGCGGAGACCACAACAGACACGCGCCTCAGACGTGCAGCAGGAATACACAGAGCAGGGCGTCCCAACCACTTCCAATGATACAGTGCACACGAAGACTCAGCCACAGGAGGCAGAGACGAGAGGAGACCAGCCTGGTGGCCCAGTGAGGCCTGATGAGGCATCACTGACTACCATGAGGACAGTGGGCTGAGGAGACTGAGCGCCAAGGGTCTGGTGGGTGCACAGTGGTGCGGTCCTGAGGAAAGGCAGGCAGTGGTTTTGAATAAACTCACCTATCCAGGTAATTACCCAACCACACCACGGCACCACTGGCACCGACCCGAAGAAGGAAACATTCACACAGAAAACTGTATCTACTGTTGAACATGCCCAGCAACTTCACTCCTAAGAGCCAAAACCAGAAACTACTCAAATGCTCTTTGGCAGAAGAGCAGGTGACAAAATGGCTCTGCGCATACCTGCCCGGCCCTTAGCAGAAAAGGCCAGTCCCCACAGGCTGCCCTGGTATGATCCCATCCACCGCGTTTTCAAGATGCGCACATGGGCGGCGAGCCCAGAGAGGCAGCACCGAGAAGAGCTGTGTGCACAGCAAGGATGCAGAACGGTGCGGCTCAAGGGATGCCAAGACCCTGGCGCAGTCCCCACACAGGGGCGTGGGGGGCAAAGCTAAGGAAAATACACACGCCCATATCCAACTCAGGTCGCCACACCCGTGGCCCCATCCCGCCTGTGCCGCGAGGTTATCAGCAGGCCTTTCTGCCCACGGACTGGCTGCCATGGCCTGCACTAATGCCCACAGAGACCCCACCACAACGGTCTGCCCCACACTCCAGGGCCCAGTTCTTCCGTGTACGTCTGCGCCCAGGAGCCAGAGTGAGCCTTTAAAATTCACATCTGCCCCTGGAGTGGACATACAGACCAGATGGAACCAGCTCCAAAACCAGGCCTCGTCTGCCCGGGGTGAGCCCTCCCTCCCGCATGCACATCAGGTCCCTCTGCAGACAGCCCGAGATAACGAGAAAGCACGTGACAGAAGAGCGCAAGGCCGCAGTGAGCACCCCGGCATCGCCCTTCACTGCAGTCTGTCACCCGGTCGGCGAGACCCTGTCCCACAGAGTGCACGCTTGCAGGTCCTGAGCTGTCCAGCACGCAGCTCCATTTTCACACGAGGAAGACGAAACAAAGGCGGGCTGGGGAGAGGCCACCGGCAGCACCAGCTCCAGACTTGGGCCACTGCCGCTCCGGGCCTGCTTCCCTGAAACAGTACCAGTGTTTACTAAAATCTGAAGAAGGCCCACAGTCCCACTTCAAGGTGTCGGTACTTTCCCCAGGTGGGCATCTGCTGCCCACCAGCTCTGTCCCGTGTCCACCCTGGGGTTTCTGCAGGATGAGCCTGTAGCTGGCTGTGTGTGCTCCTGGCCTGCGCACACAGGAGAGGCCCTGGTCGTGCACATGGTCCCAAAAGGACAGGCCAGGAAGGGGTGACCCCAGCTCTGGAGCAGCCCTCAAGAGCCCAGGTGTCCAGCTGATGTTTTGCTTTGCTCAACAGAACTAAGCTAATGAACACCAACCCGGGATGCTGCCTGCTCCTCACCGAGGCCATCACTGGATCCCACTGCCCAGGTTCACCCCACAGGGGCAGTGGGGCTTCACTCTGAGAGCAAGCTTCTACATGCAGGGGCCATGGGTGCGCTGAAAGCTCTCCAGAGCTGGGCATGGCAGTACAAACTGTCATCCTAGTACCGAGAGGCCAAGGAAGGAGGAGGATAACATGTATATCCCAGGCTGGGCAAATCAAAACAAAAATGGGATGGGGGATGCAGCTCAGTGCAAAAGCCCTGGGTTCAGTCTCAGTATAAATTTTAAAAAAGCTACCAGATACCCTGGCAGCTATGTCTTAGTCTGGGTTTGTTTGTTTTTTGAGACAGGATCTTACTGTGCAGTTCAGGCTGACCTTGAACTTGTAGCAGATCCTCCTGCCTCAGCCTCCCATGTGCTATGACTACAGGCAGGCACTACCACGCCCAGCTTAGTGTGGGTTCCAACTGTACAAGAAAGCTTCTATCTGGGAGACTAATCAGTTACAAGGTGGGCCTCCTCTTCTGCACAGACAGGCTTCGTGAAGGACACAGATCAGCACAGCATGGATCATGTAACCAGCATCAGCTTCTGTATTTTATACCGATTGTGATTCTCATTATAATCTATCTTTCTTTCTCTTTCCTTCCTTCCTTCCTTTCTCTTTTCTTTTTTATTGAGACAGGGTCTTGGTGGCCTTGAACTTACTATGTGGTCCAGGCTGGCCTTGAACTTGCAGTGATCCTTCTGCCTCAGCCTCCCAAGTGCTGGGATTACAGATGTGCATCACCAAGCTCAGAATATGAATCTTTTTACAAGCCTGACAAATATGACAAAAGTAAGAAAAGGGACAGACTGAGAAATGCACAA